AAATTGCTATTGGTAATTTTTTAATTAATTTTATGATTTGCCAAATAATTGCAGTCGACTATCATTTATAAATTTTTTTTAAACATTCGACTGTAAATTATTTAGCATATTAATTTTTTTAAAATAACCAATTACAATAGTAGAAATGAAGGGTAAGGATCAATAACCAATAGCCGTACAGCAATCATAGACTAGGGTTTGTTTGCATTTGTAAAAGACTAGACTAAAAAACTGTAATGAATATTAAATGATTATTTTATTGGGGTGGGAGTAAATTAAAGTTAGTTTTCAGGGTGGGGGTGTGAAATTTTTGTAAATATTTTAGTGTTATAAAAGTTAGGTAGATGGTAATATAGTTAGGAGTTAAATAGTGTATTATAAAACACACACAAACACACACAATAAAATAACATACAAAAACAAGAAAATATAGAATACATATAAAACAATTAAAAACATACTATCACATACATAATAAATAGAAGTGACTGTATTTCGTTGTACCATAGAGTACCGTTTCGGTCTCGGCTCTCTATTTGGCCACTGCTCTATTTTTCTTAAAGTAACAGCAATTATATCCTTAGTATATTTTGGCAATTTATTATAATAATTGGATACAATTATTTTGCATGGCACAACGGTTACCACCGACTGTAGTTTTTTGCTGTTTGGTTTGACATTGTCTAACCGTTGCCTATTTACCGTAACCACCTTATAAGTTTTGTGTCTCTTATTCTGCAAAATCTATCGTCTGATTGATTCTTGTTTGAATATCTGTCGGGTGTATGTCTGCCGACTGTATTACTGTCTACTCTATAAGAGATAATTGAACATCCGTCGGCTCAATATCATGGATCACGTGAGTTTACTGATCCATCATACACCATTAGTATTGTTATCATTGAGAATTGTTTGAGAATTGTATGCCATAACAGCATCACACAGTAACACAGCTTCAATAGGAATGTTTATTATGCTGTTATAGTCTACACCCAGCTCTTTGCATCTTTTCGGTACTCAAATTACCGTAATCTTGCGGTTCGTATACTTCGTAAGTAATGTAATAGCACCATATCATCCATCATATTTACTGTAATCGACAAATCTTCGGGCCTTAACGTACCCATTGTTTTCTGGCATTTACATAAGAGTACATTAAAATTCTTGCGATACAAAAATATTACAGAAAACATTTAACTGTTTTCTTAAAAAAAAACTCGTGCCTAACGGCAGACCAAGTCCACGGCTTCTCATATAAAACCGATTATATAAACATAAAGGATTAAGTATGCGACTATATTGTGAGTGTAATTCCCTCTATACACACAACAATCGTTTTTTACCACAGCCTATGTGGGCTACAAATCCCACCGCTGCCACCATATATGAAGTACCCACTGGCGAAACTACCGTTTCGATTCTGGTCCGACCAGTGACCACTATCACCCGCAACGGTGTTATGTGTCACCATCGAGTTCATGAATAGAAAAGTAATATTTAATACATTAAATTACTTACTATTATTTTCCCAATACTGTAGTGTGTTTGAAACGGTTCTTAATCAACGCTTATATGTATTTTGTTTAATATTCTAGTAATTGTTTTTAAACGCTATTTATGCATAAAGTTTTGCTACCAGTGTTGCCTTTCACACGTGAGCTGAATAGTAATGGAGGACTGATACCAATGGTATAGTCAGAGAAGGGTTAGCTTTCGAAGTGCACAGTCGGTTGGCGGGTGGGTGTGTTAGGACAGCTCGGGTTTAAGACTATTATAAGCTTTATATTGTTTGAGACATTTTATCTACTAATATAGTATTGTATATATTGTTTAACACGTGCGCTATAAGTGATTACAATGACTGCAACTAATTCCGCCGATTCAACGCTATTGTACTGTTAAGCTCCGCAACGCCTGTCTTGTCTTTGGGGATCAGCTGTCACTGTATTGGTCACAACCTGTCTCGCATAGCTTACAAGTGAGGTCACTCTGTAGTTATAAGCTGCTTATTTAACGGGAGAATCAGTAAGCGGTTCGGAGGCCAGATTCACGAACCTATCGCAAGCTATCTGCTACATGTGTGGACGTACCGGTTGGTTACCACCGTAGCAGATATTACCGTTACATGTTTAACAAATACAAAACCTTTCAATAGTATAAAGCAGTACTTTATTTATAATATTTTTGATCTGAAATACAAAATACAGTATTATTCTACTTTTATATAATAACTTATATAAATATAAACAAACAGTAGTTTAACACTTCAAGGCCATAATAATTTTGATATATTAAAACATTACATTTTATAAGTGAAAAAATAGTTTGAGAGGATATAGATATCCTGTTTGTAAAAATACTATGAGATGTACGTAAAATTATATAAATTTTAAAATAATAATTTTATAGTAAATAAATCTCTTAATTATTAAATAAACATTACGTAGTTTTATATTTAATTAGCATAACATCATTATGATAATCAATACAAACACATATATTTTGATTCAAAAACTTATTTATACGGATATAATAAACTTTTTTGATATCTACTGTTACACTATTAACAACCGACTCGATCGTGAACTCCTTAACCAAACAGTTTTGTTTGCCAGTAAGTTTGGGTGGGGTTTCACTCGTTCAACACATATCAATACCATTCAAGGAATGGTATGCTATGTTGTGTTTAGTCTAAGTATACTGAAATTATTTACGTAAAAATTGTTTATTTTATAAATAGAAAACTATTTTAATAACCATTTTAATATATTAAATAATATTAATTAAATTAATATTAATAAATAATAATAATATTAAAATTATAAATAAAATAAAATATTTAATAATAATAACTAAAATATTCAAACAAAAATAAAACAAAATTACAAACTGTTTGACCTAAAAAATCCATTTTGATGGCTATATATAAAAAAGATATAAAATATATTACGCGCCTCACACTAACCTATCTCTCTCTCTCTCTTAAATATAATCTATAAATTTAAGCATTGTATTTTAATTATGCAAAAAATAAAATAAATATAATGTTCATATTTTAAACAATGTCTAATAAGTTTATTAATATTAATTTTAATAGTTTTTCATTTTTATTATTACCGTTAATTTGTTTATATTAATTCAATTATAGTAAAAATAATATATTTTTTTGAAAAATATAATTTAATCTAATTTTTTTATTACTTTTTAATATAAATAAATTTTAAAAATTTATTAATATAATTAAATATTAATTTGTTTTCTAACTTTTATTTATTATTAATATTTAAATATTCAGTATAATAATTTTTAAAATATTTAATGATATTATATTATTAGTTGAAAAATATGTTTATTTATTATTTATGAACATATATTATTATTGTTTATAATTATAATTTAAATTCAAGATAAATTATTATTTGTCAATTGATATTTTAATTATTAATAAAATAATTTATAGTTTAATTGCAATAACATATTATATGCAATCGACTAAAATTTCTACTTTTTAATAAATATTAAAATAATTATTTTCCTAAGTTATTGATTTTATTGTTATAAATTTGATGACATATATATTTATACTAAATATTTTAATATATCTAACTTTAATATTGTAAATTGTTAATAATTTATTATTTTAATATCTAGGTACTATATTTTTCTATTTATTAATATTTAACTATAATGTATAGTATATCATAATATTAATTGAATAATTATTTTTATTATATTTTAGCTATTAGTTTAAGAGTAAAATTATATTTTTATTACAATAACATTTCAATTATTATTATTATATTATTTTAATTTTAAATTGATATTTTTTTATTTATAAATTAAATTCATATTACAATAACAATTTATATGATATCGTATTATTATTATTATTATTATTTGATACTAACATTAATTAATTAAATAAAAATATTATTACTATTGAAAAGATCATAATTTAGAAAAAATTACTTTTAAACATATTTTTTAAATAAAAATAAACAAATATATTTTACAATTACTAATTTACAATAAAATTTTATTTCAATAATAATATAATATTTATTATTAAATTTTTAGAAATTTGTAAAATAAATGTTTTAATACAAAAAACAATATGTTATGAATTGTTTATTTTTTTAATAATATTCAAATTAATAATACAATACTTGACATTTATATTCATAGTAATCAATAAATTATAAAATAATAATAATAATACTGTCATCTATTTATATAAACTTATTTTATATCAAGTTAAATTGATTATAAATTTATATATAATATATTTAAATATAAAAAATCGTTATAATAGATAAATACAATTAACTGATGATAAAATAAAATCAAAAAATCTAACGGTTAGACAAATAATTATTATCTTTTGCTTGTTGTTTGAAAAATACATATTACGGTAGTTATAATACTAACAATAATTAGAAAAATACAATTATCTCTCTACAAATATAAGTTTTAAAAAAAATGACAAATGATTTAAAATAATAATAATAATAAAAAACAATATATTTTTCTTTAAAAATATTATAAGATAAAAATTACTTGATATTAAAGTAAAGTAAAAATTAAAGTATAGCTATTATATAGCTATTAGTGATTCAATTAATAATAAAAAAAATTATATAGTATTTATACAAATTAAAAACTAATTATAAATCATTAAAATTGTAGAAAAAAAACAAATATTAAACAATACTAATAATAATAATAATATAAACTAATAATATGATTATCTAAATCTATAATTTTTAAAAAAAAACATATGTCTTATAGATATATATATATATACTGCATATGCAGAGTATATATTCATCTCAATATTAATACAATTTTTTTATAATTATAATATTTATATACCATTTATATACTATATATATACAGTATATATATATATATATATATATATATATATATACAGTATATATATATATATATATATATATATATATATACAAACAAATTAGTTGATCATTAAATGTATGGCAAATAAAACAAATAGCGTGACATTAGAGGACAGGTGTGTGTGTGTATATATGTATTAGCCTAACAATAGAGGTTACGGTAGGCCTAGCAGTGTGTGTGTGTGTGTGTGTGTCTGTCCTCTTAACCTAACGGTTCAACCACTTAACGGATGACCTACTGCTGGTTCATCGGTTGGCTGTCAATAGCATCGGCATATTCTTCCTCGTCATCGGCAGCGCCAGAGTCCAAGTCTAGCGATCCGATAGCCGACTGACCAGTTGTCGGGTGTTTCGGTTTCCATAGTTTTTGTGTACACGGACTGAGAAAGGCATCGGTCGGCGAATTAAACCATTTGGTCATTTGGCGGCGTTTAACCTAAAAAATTGTCGGGCAATTGACAAACAAATTAAAAACAAGCCGTCCATTAGTAAACCGTTTCGGTAATAACTATAACAGTCAATACTACATACCATTGCTGGCGTCGATCCGGGAACAGTGGCACCGGGATTATGGGCACCAGTAGTGGTCGAGTCGCGTAGCGGTTGTTTTTGTTGTTGTTGGCCACCGCCGGCGTATCGTTGCAAATGTGGTGGCAAATGGCTTTTGACTATCGACGGCAACTGTTCGCTAGTAGTAGTAGTTGGGTTCACAACGTGTTGGCCATCATTGACGGCATCGGCTGCGGTAATATCCATGTCCTCATCAATCACGGGGTGACTGCGGCTGTCATCGGCAATGATATTAGTGGTCAACGACATGACTTTGGTTTTGTTTGTTTGTTTTTATTGCTACTAAAAACGGGAGAATCAATTGGTGGCCAAATAATAATAATTCACCGAAAAATATATATCAAAATATTTAACACAAATTGAAACAAAAAAATAGTTTTATTAAAAATAATTTTGTTATTAAACAGTAAATAGTTGTTTGAAAATAACAGATATTTTTTGTTTTGTGTATTGTTTTTATCGATAGATTTATTGTAATAAATATTTTTTGAACACAAAAAACACGTTTGAAAAATACAGTATTAATTGAAAAATGGTTGCCATTGGCAACGTTTGTATCAATTGGCCAATCAGATTGTCTCAAATTGTTACTGTAGTAATTTTTATCATCTATGTGAAAATAAATAACGTCCAACATGTTAAAAAATTTACCTAATAATAAAATACGTAATTTATGTATTTTAAATAAAAAATTTTATTTACAAACTACTTTTATAAAGTATTTATATTTTGGTACAATTTTATATAGAATGTTTATAAATATTTTACCATTGATTTTAATGTAATATTTTCTAAACTAAAAACGTACAGATTGTGTGTTTGTATAAAACTCATGTAAATTTTTTGAAAAATATTTTTATATACACTGTGTTTGTGTAAGTAGTTTGACATATATTTACGCTTACGTAACACACACTGTACATACACATACACATTACACATACACATACACATACACATTACACATACACATACACATTACACATACACATACACATTACACATACACATTACACATACACACACATACACATACACATTACACATACACATACACATTACACATACACATACACATACACATACACATTACACATACACATTACACATACACATACACATTACACATACACATACACATACACATACACATACACATTACACATACACATACACATTACACATACACATACACATTACACATACACATACACATTACACATACACATTACACATACACACACATACACATACACATTACACATACACATACACATACACATTACACATACACATTACACATACACACACATACACATACACATACACATTACACATACACATTACACATTACACATACACATACACATACACATACACATACACATTACACATACACATACAAACACTTGTTATATACTGTACATTGTATAGTAAACATACTGTATGTTTAGTTAGTATAGCATTACATCTACTGTAACGTTAATGTAATGTAATGTTTAAAAAACGTTTAAATTTTATATTCAAAACATACATACAGTGAGTACTAACTCCAGTGTCAACACATTATTAGAGCCAACAAAATCAAAAATACAACAATATTTTTAAAAATTATTTTACAAGTAGTGCATTGAAAACATTAAAATAAATTTGATATTTATTTATTTGATATTTACTGTAGTGTTTTATTTTTTTTAAAAAATGGGTGTAATTTTTGTATATTATTATTAATATTGTTTCAATCAATTAGGATATATATCTAAAAAATAATAATAATTATTATTAAAATATTTTATATTGTGTGTGTGTGTGTGTGCATGTTAATTTTAGTGTTTTTTAAAAATTTACATTTTAAAAATAAAAATAATTTTATGACATATGTACAAACAACTAAATTATTATTTAATTGCATCTAAAAGGTAATTAATTTTTTAGTTTATTTATATTTTTTTAATTATTATTTGTTTTTAAAATTTTTCATTAATTTTTAAAAAAATATATTGCAATATGTTTTGCAATATACTGTAATTTATTTGCAATAATAACTATATATGTTAATTAAATAATTTGTTTAATCATCTTTTAAAAAGTAAATATGTTAAAATTTAGTTTGAATTGATTTTAGCTAGTAAATATATATATTATCTAATTGATAAAAAATTATGCTAGATCATTTTATTAGGTATTTTTGTTATTGTAAAATATAAATAAAGTTCAAATACATAGCATAATCAACAAAATATTTTCATGATTATTAATATTATATATAAATATTATAGTAATTAATAAAAAATTTTAAATATTTAATTTTATTTTTATATAAAATAATATGTTAATTTATTTATTAGAAATATAATAATATCCAACACATAAAAAAATAGTTCAAAACAATAATTCATAGAAAAATAAAATAATTGTTATTTAATTATTATTTGAATAACTAAAATAATAATAATTTTTATTAATTCATATAATTATATAAAGTTTATATTATAAACAATTAAAAATGCATTTCAACATTTACATAATTATTACATCAATTAAAAAAATTAGTTTTGTATTATTTTAATTAAATTAAAATTATTAATTGATTTCTCTATGTTTATGTATGCTATCATATCATATGATATAATAATATCAATTAATTGGTGGTAAAGCCTAAAAAGTTTTTGACAACACTATCGCATTTGTTGGCCTCCAGTAGCCGAAACATGTGGGCCGTATCGGCCAATTCGTGATAGTCAACAAAAGCTAGACCACAACCATCACTACTACCTCCCGGTGCTGTCGGTAAGTGTCGTTCCGTATCTATAAGTGTTATTCGTTGCCAACTCAATGACCGTATTTGTTGCCAAAATTGTTCGCAATACCGGTGCCCGCCCTCAACACATATGAATCCTATATTATAATAGTATAGTATATATATAGATAGATAAGCAAATTAATACTAATATTTAATTTTAATTGATTAGTTATATATTAATGTTTGTTTTTGCAATCTAAATATAAATATTTAATATATATATATATATTTGTTGATTATTAATAAATTAAAAATAAAAATTTTCATATCATTTATACGGCATATATTAGTTTTAATATATATATACCGTATATATATATATATATATACCGTATATATATATATATACCGTATATATATATATATCAGGGTTAAGTAAGGGGGGGGGGGGGTAGGGGGGGGTAAGGCCAAAATACCCCCCCTAAGATCGAGAAATTGGTATTTTACCCCCCAGACTTTTTGACCAAATGGGAAAAATTGTCGCTTAAAAACGAGGAGAAAAGACCCCCCCCCTAAAATTTCGGCGCCAATGGCGCCGAAATTTTTTTTTAAGTTTATGAAAATTTTAATTTTAATTGATACTATTTTAGTAAGTGTTTTTATGTTTTTAAAATTTATATGAATCTAATTATTGATTAAAAATAAGTAAAATAGTTACAATAACGTTTTAACTCATTAAAAAAATAACATTATTTTAATTAAAATATTAAACTAAAAARTTAAAAAATACCAATTTGTTGAAAAGAATAATCATATTACAATATAAATAGAAGTTTGAGATAGTTTAAGAAGTTAATAAAACAATAAATACTTATATTACAAGGTTTTTATTAATAATTTTTAAAATTTTAACTAAAAAATTTAAAATATTTTTAATTTTATAATTAGTATTCAATCAGTATTTACATAAAAATAACATTAAAAAATAAAAATATATATCTATAAACTATAAGCATTAAGTATTATTTAAAAAATTATTTTAAAAGTTAAAAATTGCTAAAATACTAAAAAACTCAGTGTATCATTAATGCCTTTATCACCTATTTTTAAGTATTTAATACATTATTATTTTATTTTTTGCTAAAATTAAGTTTTTATTAATTTTTTAAATTTTTTTTAAAAAATATTTATTTTTGTTAAAATTTAAGTTTTTTTTGTATTTTTGTTAAATTTTAAGTTTTTTTAGTATTTTTGTAAATTTTACCTATTTTCCTGGGAATTTATACGGGAACTTATGGGAATTTTATCGAATTTACATGGGAATATTCGGGAATTTAAGGGAATATTAGGGAATTTTCTCTGGACCCCCCCCCTTGATTTTGGATTTTTGAAAAAATTGCCGTTTAAAAATGCAATAAAAATCTTACCCCACCCAATACCCCCCCCAAGATTTTTCGAGAATTTTGTAAATTTTACCCCGGTCTACCCCCCCTAAAATCCAAAACCTTGCTTAACCCTGATATATATGTATATGTATATATATATATAGAGAGAGAGAGAGAGAGAGTGAGAGATTGAGAGGAACTCCTAATAAATCCCTGACCTTTGATTTTACAAACACTGTATTTACCAGGAATTGTATGTTTTTTTATTTTTTTTATAAAACTATTAGTAGTATTTAGTTTGTAAGGGAAATGTAGTTTTTTTCTCTGTTTGTTTATGTTTTAAAAAATGATTTTTATATTAAAATAAATAAATTGAATGTTTTATTTATTTTCTAATGAATCAATTTATTTTATTTTATTTTTGATATCTATTAATAATAATCATAATAATGTTTATTATATTAATCATTTTGATTAATATGTTTTTTTTCAATGATAATTATTATATACAGTACTCTATTAAATGGTACTGTCATATGAAATAATAATATTAGGCTAACTGTCCCACAAAAAAATTAATTAAATGTCTATTTATTGTTAGTTTAAATATTGATATCTTATATATTATCTTTTAAAAAAATAAACCATTTATTGGTTAAAGTATTTTAATAAATTACTTATAATAACATAACTACCAAAACAATAGGAAAACAATTGATTTAAAAAAATAAAATTATAAATAAATACAAATAAAACTTTATTTTTTCTCTAATAAATCATTTTATATGTTTGAATGAATTCATCGCTTGAATTATTGTGACTTTTAAAAAATACAATATACATGTATATAAAGTTAATTAGTATCTTAACAATAATAAAATGTATTATTATTATTATTGTTATAATTATTATTGTATTATTATTATTAGATAATTACTATTGTTTATTTATTTTCTAATTTTTTTTCTCTACAAGTAATTTAAAATAAGTTATTATTATTGTTTTTTATGAATATTTGTCAACAAAATAGTGGTCTAGACTGTAGTCGAGTTCATATACTGTATATATATATTTTTGTAAAATGAAACTGATTTATTTTATTTCCTATATATTTATTATTATTATAATAATTATAGATTATTATCATTTTTTTAGTAGTATTGTTTTATATTATATTTATTTTTTATCACACATCACATAGCATTTAATATAATAATAATAAAATATGCATTGAATTGAATGGCATATTTTTTTTTGTTTATGTTTGTGTGTGTTAAATATAATAAAATTTTTAAAAAACTATTTTTTACAAAAAAATAATATTATATATATATATATAATTGTGTGTTTGCTAACTGTTAATTTTTTAATAAATTTTTTAAGTAATGTTTTATTTTGTATCAATTAGTTTTTTAAAATAATTTTTGTTTGGTTTATGTTTTTATGTATTATTATTATCATTATTATTGTCATTAATATAAAAGTGTTTAAAATTTATATTCAAAATATCATTAACTATACTAATATATACTAATTAATTAATTGATTGTTTTTATTTAATAGTTAAATAATTTTTTGAATAACTATTTTATGATAGCACAGGTAGGGGTAGTTCATGGGTAGATAGGCTTAACCTTTCCCAATGACCGATCAAATTGTTACTATTATTATTATAATAGTTATGTGAAATGTATTTTAATATATTATATACTATACATACTATAATATATAAAATCCTATTATTATATTGTGAAATAAAATAAATGCCATTCATATTTTTTTTGCATTACACACACACACATACTTAATATCACAGCTCCTGTATTATTGGAGACCGGCAGACGCCTAATGGTTGCAGAAAGTCGGCAACAATAACGTTGCATTTTAATAAAAATAGAAATTACACACAAAAAATAAAATCATTTTTTTTATTAAAATTACAAATGAAAATTGTTTGAAGCTATGGATGCCTTGAATGCAATGAATATCAAAATAACAAATGATTGCATTTCTATGAAAATTACTGATTATAGTGACTGTTATGACAACAACAACACACGTGTGGATAACAATAACATGCGATTTAAGTGTTTTTGGCCTAAATGTCTGTTTACAACTAATAGTAGACAACATTTTGATTATCATAAAACAACTCATACATTACATATAAATGTGACATTAATAATTGTAATCAAACATTTTCATTATCATCAAAATTAAGTAACCATAAAATTTAGTACATTTCAAAGATATCAATAAACATATTCCATTCAAATGTGATGTCGACTATTGCGGTCAAATGATTCAGTATGACAAAATATACTCAACTTTAGTCATGTAGGGTATCAAATGACTCGGTATAACAAAATAAACCAAACTTTAGTCATGTGAGTGATCAAATGATTCAGTATGACAAAATAAACAACTACTCATGTGCGTTATTAAATGATTAAGTATAACAAAATAAACAGCTAAAATCATATTTTTGCTGCCATTTTTTGAAAAAATAAAATAATAATTTTGATCTATTATATATTATTTTTGATTTACATGTGATTTTTATATACAGGTATTTTGTGCTTTAATTGCGCTTAAAATTTTTGTGTGTTATCTTTTCTTTAATTTACTTATAAATATTATAATCTCTTGAGTAAACATAGACATATATTTTGCCGGTCTCCATGTATTATATTGAAGTGCCTGAGCGCGCACACAGGTAGCTTAGGGACTATATATATATAAGGGTGAGAGACTTGATAGAGGGGATGGTGGTAGAGGTGGGTTGGGGTTCACCAGTCAGTAACCATTAAATGGTATTTTTTAAAAAAAACTGTATTGTTATATGTATACAGTATATACTCTTTTAAAATAAATTGTATATAAAAGAGTCTCTCTTTCGTGAATATTATATAATAATAATAATAATAATAATAATAAAAGAGTAGGAAATGAGACAAACATTCATTTATATAATCATATATATATACAATTTGTAAATTTATATACAGTATATATACTGGTATTTATTGTTAAAAGTTTATACATATACTGTATTATTTAAAAAAAATTGTTTACCCATAGAGTTGAATCACATTTTTTTTGTATGCATACATACATACACACACACACAGACACATACATACATAACACACACACTCATACAGCACACACACACACACATACATACATACATAACACACACACATATATACATACATAACCAGGGTTTTAAAAATGGCAGGCATAAACAATAGATGCCTATTTTGCCAAATGCCTGCCTTGCCTCTGCCATGCCCAGGGCATCTATTTTCAGGTGGTGACACCTATTATTTTAATTATTTTATTATTAATTTATTTATAAAAATTTTTTTATCAATATATTTGTCTGTATTTTTGTTTTGTATATCTTTACTTAAAAGATAATATATTAGAAATAAGTATATTAATTGTAAATTTAATTAACAAGCTAAAAAACAGTAAATTAAATTATTTTTATAAATACAGTTGCTTTTTAGCAATTTAAATTGGCAGGCAAATAAAATAGATGCCCAAAATGCCAGGCATTTATGGCACCTATTTGGCATTGCCAAGGCAGGCATTTATTTCCTTAAAACCCTGTACATAACACATACACACTTACACAAAATATATGCACGAATTCATTATATAAAATAAATAATAATAAAATACTTGAAATAAGTTTTTATTATAATATAAAATGCAAATTCAGTGCCTTTTTTGCAACAAACAAAATATATATATATAAATATAAACAAACTAAAAAAAATATTTAGGTAATGGTAGGATTAAATACAAGTGCACTTAAATCCAAGTGTTTTATGATGACTTATAAAATAAAAATCATATTTTTGTTATATTTAATTATTTATTTTTAGCTAATAAAAAAGTATCAATTTAAAAAAAAATAATTGTTTGCCCCACAAAAACAATGTTTAATCCCTTAATTTATTTATTTAATTAGACTAGAATTTTATTATACAAATAATAATAATAACAAAAAAATTAAGTAAAATCACTTAAAATATAAATAACCGGACTTCCCGTTAATTACAGACATAATTTTTTTGTGTGTTTATATATATATTTTAGAGTTTAAATAAAATAAATTATTATTTTTTGTTGAAATGTAAGTCATGAGATAAAAAACAACTATTTTTTTAAATAATTAAAATCTTTAAAAAAACTATTATTTTTTTAACAACAATACAAAATTATTCAATTGTCTAGTATTATATAGTTTATCTCATATACTGTACGGTATATATAAATAATGTTTTTGTTGTTATATGATATAATTGTCTCATCAAAATGCATTGCATATGTAATACTATACTACTATACGGTATTATTGTTATATTTTAAACTAAATTATTAGTTATATATAGTCTATTGAATTTGTAATTTAATGCGAATTTAAATATATATATATATGCAGGTATATTTAGGTTACTAATATATATTTTAAAAAAATACAATTATAATACAGTATATCTACTACTAATAATATTAATACTACTAATAATAATCATTATCAATAAAATAAATATTGAATTTCACTTATTAAAAATATTTTAACCAAAAAAATAAAATAAATATATTTTTTAAAAACTAATATTATGTTTAACTTATCTTATATTTCATTTTAATGATTTAATATTAGATTATATTGAATTGAATTAATAATCTAATATGTTTTTATTAGAAATAAAATAATGATTTCAATTTATATTTATATATATTACTATAATATACAGTATTATATCTATTGATAAACATTTTTAATCATTTTATTTACATTTACACATATTTTGATGAATTAATTTTTTTCAACAAAAAAATATTATTTAATTAAATTATCTATGCTAAATGAAATTGAAGGTTAGAAATTTATTTAAGTATTTAATAAAATTGTTTAACCTTATATAGTATATATATATATATGTTTATATACAGTATTATTTGCTATTTAAAATAATAATAATAGTTATCATCATCGATATTAATTATTAATTATTTGAAAAAAATAATAATAATAAAAATGCTTATCAACCGCTTAATACATATTCAACAACTAAAACAAAACAAAAAACAATAGTATTTTATAATAACAAACAAAACACTATTGAATTATTTAAATTTCAATAATAATAAGTCAATTGTTATGTTTTATTATGTTTTGTTTATTTGCAATAAACAATTTGTATTTTATATATGAAATCTTCAAACAAAACAAAAAGTTATTTCTTAAATAAACAATTGAAATAAGAGGGGGGGGCGGAAAAATCATACTTCAACAAATGTGATTACAAGTATTGAAACAAACGGGTGGTTATTATAGTCTCCCCCCCCCCTCTAAATACAATACATACCAGGCTTTCCCACACATGTAAAACCAGTCAGATGTAGCTCACGGGCCAAATCAATGATCAATTGACGCTTTTTTGTCGATTTTATATGATGTGAATAAATCCAATACCTAGATATGCCTGCATCCCTGTCCTCCACATCATCATCATTATTATTGCCTCCCAGTGTTTGATTAGTGTCTGCAATATATCATATATATATATAAAGTAATTAAATAGTTGAAAGTACTGTATTAATACAAAGTCAATAAAAATATTATAATTAAGACAATAACCGATAACATGGTTTATATAGTTTAAATATATTACTATATTGTTTCCCTTATATTATATACTATTATCTTATCAATTATTCAAGTAAAAATATTGTGTGTGTGTATATATATATATATGTGTGTATATATATGTGTATGTATGTGTATATGTATGTGTGTGTGTGTGTACAGTATGTACAGTATGTGTTGCCGATTAGGTAATACCTAAATTAGGTAGGTAGGTGTGTATTGCTTAGTGTCAATGTAATAATAATAATAACACAAAAATATTAAAATATAAGTAATTAAATGAAAATATTTAATAATAATAACGTGTTTATGTGATATACTCTAAAATATAAAAAGTGTTTAATTTAATTTTTTTTAAATAACTTTATATTAATGTAAGTTAAATTTATTTTATATTTTTGTTACAATTAAAATTGACAACAACAATAAAAATAATAAAATCTAAATTTAATGTAATGTTATTGAATTTTTTTAAAATAGTTTTTTAAAGACAAAAAATTATGTTTATATTATTTAAAAAAATTTCTCATTTGACTTATTATTTTTTTAACACTGATTTTTTTAAAGACTACTATATATAGAGATTGATAGTAAAAGATTTTAATTAAAATATAAATTATTTTGACATATTTATTATATAATAAGTTATTTAAATTATTATTATTATGTGAAACCCACTATTGCATGACTGTAGGTGTGTTTGTTATTTAATAATTATTTAATAGGTAGTGATGTTATTATTAATAATTAGTATCATTTTATTGTTATATCTATTTTGAAATTTTTTGTTTAATGATAATCATATTTTTAATAAATAAATAAATAAATATTTTTCTAATGAGTAATGTGTAAAATCTATGACAATTAAATATAATATGATATATAGATATATACTGTATATCTTATTGTTTAGATTATTTAGATAAAATAATATTTTTATCTTGATTAATTTATATATATTGTTGCTATCATACTATTATTTAAAAAAAATAAATAAATGTATTAGATAATGTATTAGAAATGTATTAGAAATAAATGTATAATATAATTGTCTATAATTATAAAACATGTAAAATCGTGATTAAATTACATTTAAAAGATATTTATTCACACACACACACACATACACACACACACACACACATACATACATACATACATACATACATACATACATACATACATACATACATACATACATACATACATACATACATACATACATACATACATACATACATACATACATACATACATACATACATACATACATACATACATACATACATACATACATACATACATACATACATACATACATACATACATACATACATACATACATACATACATACATACATACATACATACACTGTCTTCAAACGTAACACACAATCTTGTATTCAATTATTTTCAATTGCTATTAAACCACAACAACAACTACTACTACTTATAATTTTTAATAATTATAATAATATACAAACTTGTTGTTGATGTTAAACATATGTATATATTAGGTAATTATAAAATTTATTAAATTATATTAAAAAATATATCAAAGTTTTTAATATATATAAATGTTTTAAGTACTAGTTAATTATATTTAATTAACTTAATCCAGGTGATTAAATGTTATTTTATTATATATTATACTATTATAAAAATATATCCAAACTAACAAAAATAAAGTGATTGATTGAATAAATACATTAGTAATTATGTAATAGTATATGTATACTACTGTACACTGTATTTACACTTATTATTATATACCCATTAAGTTGTTTGTTTAATATATACTGTATATTGAATTATAATTATAGTTAAATTTTAGTTAATTAGTTTAGTTAGTTAATTATAGTTAAATAACTAAAATTATAGTTACCATTAGACGCGTGGTCACCACCATTAGCGGGACAGTTATAACTACTAGTATTATTGGCCAACAATTTAATACTATCCAAATCGGTCCACAATTCCTGTATTTTTTGTATAACACTAATGATATCGTAGTCTAGACCGGTATCGGTATCTGTACTGCCGTTGTTGCTGCTGCTCAGGTAGTCTCCCACCCTATCGTTGAGTGTTTTCTGTACCGAATTGGACAGTCGACCGTCCAGTACACGACAGTGTACGTGAATCCCGTTTCCCGACAATGTTGTAGTTTTCGGATAGTCTACGCCTAGAGTGCATATTATATCCAAATGTTTGTCGCACTGGAAGGTAAACTCCAGGGCTTTCCCGTAGACAAACTCGTAGTCCTGTTCGCTGACTGCCTGTCCAACTGATGGGTCGTCCCATTGGCACTGTTTCGGGAACATCGAGTCCAACAGTATTAGTTCGCCCACTCTTTGGTCACACATTATTGTTGTTATATACACACAAACACACAATGTTTTTCGGGACCCGATTATTATTCCCGACACTAGTTTATCTTGTTTGGCAACACTACTAAAAAAACAAAAAATATATATTAATAATTATCATATTATTATTATTATTTTAAAAAACTATCCAGGTGAATTATAAATTAATTAATGTATATTATTATTATTATTGAAAAGTTACCCTAGTTAATAATAATAATAATGTAATAAATTATTAAAATTTACTAATTTTGTGTTTAATTATGTAGTACTAGTGGACATATATATATTTATGATATACAGTACTGTATATCATATAGTGACCTAAATATTGAATGTTGTACCAGTTACATAATAATAATAATAATAAAAATTTTTAATAAAATAAAATTACTCCTATGTGCACCATTGAAATTTTTAAAGTACATTTTTGTGTAGAGTACTTTAAAAAATAAAGTCACATGACATGATTTATTAAAAAAATTAATAATAATAATTATTATTATTTAAAATAAATCCAACATATGTTTTTTTTGGCGCAAATTTATTATTATTATTATTTAGTTAGGGGACACGATGATACAAAATTTAATATTTTTAAAATTTATAAATGTAATATATTTTACAAATCACATAGTAAAAACTAAATTATACTTTTTTTTTAATTAAAACTTAAATAATAATTTTAAACATACTGTGTATATATTTTAATATTATTACATTAAATTAACTCGTGGTACAAAATGTGTGTTTATGTTTACAGTATTTTATTATTGGCATAGTAATTTATATATTTTTTTAAAAAAAAAACGAGGGACCGTCGCATAATTTACCAAACATCAACAAATGTTACAGCGTATACACTGTACATATTAATTAATACATACTGTACATACATTTTGAATACAAGTTTATTACGTAATTTTAATTTTTTTTTATGGCAGTTATGTTTTGTTGACAGTTTTTATGTATTTAAATAGTTTTTTTTTGTAATAATAATGATTAGTAATTTTTTTAAAACTAGATGATAAAAATATATTTTTTTTTTTAAATCAAAATAAGTACAAGTAATTATTTTTCAATAATTTTAATTTTTAATATAATTTTTGTTTAAAATTTACTATTATAATATTTTGTTGGCGCTAAATACATATTAATTATTTATTTTATAAAAATTTATGTTATAAAAATGTTATATAATTTACTAAATTTTTTAAACAAAAGTAAAAAATTATAAATTTAAACTAGAAATTCATGATTTATTAGTTATTTTTTATTTGATAAAATAAACATGGTCAAATTTTCAATTAACAATTTGTTTGTTTTTTTTGACAATTTTAATTTATAATTAATTTGTTTTTAAATTATTTAAAAATATATATATAATACTTAAAATTATTATCATTTTTATAAAAAAAACTAATACTTGAAAAACTTTTTTTTTTGGACAATAATATAATAAAATTAATTTATAAAACTTTTTTTTCATATCATTTATACTAATAGATTATATCTGTCCTCCAGTTAATCGGCGATAGTAGTGGTGACCACTTGAGTGAAATCTGAAAACTATGTCCCGCCGACCGACGCCAACAACAACATCATCATCGGCCGTACCACCGATGGTTAGTCCTAATAAATCACGGCCACCGCCACAAGTACCGATTCAATCGGTGACCACTACATTGATTACCCGATTGGATGCGTCGCCAGTCAGGAGGCGTCGACAGGTTATGCAACCGACACCTCTGGTCTACGCTATGAACAATAACTCGTCATCAATGCATCTAAGAAGTGGCGGCCAGTCGTCATCGATGACTACCGACGACTACTACTCAGATCGCGGATCTATTACCACATCGATGGCCACTACGACAAGCTTGGCCAGTGCGCAACAGTATCGGCCACCAGTAGTGGCGGCCAATGTTAATGTTAGACAAACATCGCCGCCGCCGACATCAGCGACTACAGCGAGGAAGACCACAACCACCGCCGCCGCAGCCGTCCGACAACAACAAACTGTGACCAACGGTACGACCAGCCGTAGTGATGGTAGTGACCATAATAACTGGCGTCCGCATCATCAAGAAATTCGTCGGCAAATGAGCGACGAATATCGCAAACTCATGTCCTATGATAGCACCGGTAGCGGCAGCGGCGGCCCCGGAGGTAGTTATCGGCGGACAACTACCAGAACTGATAGCAGTAGTGGCGGCGGCGGCGCCGTCAGCGGTGTCCGCACAACAAACGGAAGTACAACAAGACGTAAACCTAGTGATAATCAACAAACAAACGGTGATATTAGCAATACTAGTGATAGACAACAGTTGTCGTCGTTGTCATCGTCGACAACAACAACACCGCCGAAGTCACCACTGGCTCCGTCGGCTGTTTCGTCGCCGACTTCGGTACGCGACTCTGTGTTGTCCAACGCTACTGTCACAGCCGTTACCGATGACGAGGACGACGATGTGTCAGTAGTACCGAAAGTGGTGGTCAATAGTCGACAGTGCAATAGATACGGCTTTTTTATGGACTCGAATAAGACGGATGTCGTTCCGTAAGTATTATTATTATTATTATTAGTCTATTATAACAAATATTAATCTCTTTCTATACATCCCTGTCCTCAACAATGAACAGCGAACTGACTAAACTGGAGATTCATTTGCTACGAAAACGGGAGAAAAAGTGGATCCAAATGCTGGACAAATGGGACAAATATATTAACAATCGGTGGGCAAAAGTTAGGGACCGGTGTCGCAAAGGTATACCCCATTCGATGCGCGGTCAGGCCTGGCTTCATCTGTGCGGCGGACATCATCAGATACGCCAACATCCCGACGCTTACGGTAATCTCTGCCGACAGTCCGGCGATCCGCAGATTGTCGACGAAATACGTAAAGATATTCACCGACAGTTCCCGAATCACGAACTATTTGACCAACCGATGGGCACCGGACAACGGGATCTGCTGAATGTGTTGAAAGCATTTTCCATATTGAAACCAGATATCGGCTACTGTCAGGTATGTTTGTGTGTTTGTATCCCATCTCTTATCAGTGCATACCTGTCCTCAACCCACACACAACTAATCGGTTAATTGTGTTTTTTTTATTAACATTAACTTTTTAGGGTCAGGCCCCGATCGCATCGGTACTACTAATGCATATGCCGGCCGAACACGCTTTCTGGTCTCTGGTGGCCATTTGCGACCACTATCTGCCCGGCTATTTTTCGCCCGGCCTCGAAGCCATCCAACTGCACGGCGATATGCTGTTCGCATTTATCAAACGATTTGCGCCCAACGCCCACAAACTAATGGTGCGCTTATACAGTATACCGATATTTAATATTTACCGATAATTTAATTGTTATTAACTTAAACTTTTTGTTTTACATTTTTTTTCGGGAACCGACCGTTTTTGGTGTTGTTGGCTTTGGTAGGAGAAGCAAAAAATCGAACCGATATTGTTTATGACCGAATGGTTTATGTGTGTATTCGCCCGAACCCTTCCCTGGCCATCGGTGCTCAGGGTTTGGGATATGTTTCTCTGTGAAGGTATGTCAACACCACATATAAATTAGACAAATAATTATTTTGTTTGTTTGGTGGGAAAGGTATCAAAATTGTATTCAAATGTGCAATAGTGTTAGTATCGGATACTATGCGTGCGGCCAACAAAAAAACATGTCCATCAATGTACGAAACTCTGGAAAGGCTTAGACAACCGTCCCATTGGACAACTAATGAGTCGATATTAGTTGACTCGATAGTCCGGTGCGATCTACACGACGGTGACCTACAGCGGGAACATAATATTCAGGAGAAGCGCCGATCGAAACAAAAACAACAACAAAAAACAAAAATTTCCGCAAATAATAATAATAACAGGACTAATGGCAAACATAGACAATAATAATAGTTATTATTATTATTATTATTATTATTTTATTAATTTCATTCATTAATTGGATTTAGATTTTTATAATTATTAACAAAAAAAATTCAAAATAAATTATTATTAGTTTTTTTTAAAAAAATTTATTTTACAATTCAATCTATTTATACATAAATATATATATATTTTTTAAAACAAAAATACAATGATTTTCTATACATTATTAATAAAGATTATATTATATTTTTTCATCAAAAAAAATTAATTAATTAATTTTATTGTAAAGTTTTATTTTTATATATATATATATATATATTTTCGATTATTAATTAATAAATAATTACAAATGTTTTTGTTTTTCATTAATAATATTGTTATTAATTTATATATATATATATATATATATTTTATTAATTGTTATTTAAATATCATTTATCAGAGTAATTTTTACAAAATAACAAATTTGAAATTACAAATTTATCTTATTTATAAATAAAATGGAGGAAATAAAAAAATATCTATATAATTATTATTAATTATTATTTATATAATTAATTAGTTGACCATAAATTTTTTTAATAAATAAATTTATTAAAAATAATAATAATACATAACTTATTTGTGTTTATGATAAGTATCATTGTATAATTATTTTATAGTTTATTAATTATATCAAATTTTATTTTTAAAAATAATAATAAATATGATTGTTTATGGATACCATCAATGTATTTTGTGTCAGTTATTTTTTAATATAATAAGTTAATTATAAATATAACATACCGACAATAAAACTGATATATTAAATAAATTAATTTTTTATTTAAAATAAAAACTAAAATTTTAGTGGAATTAATTAGAATTAGCAATATATATATAAATATTATTTATATGTGAGTAAATAATTTTTTTATAATTAATTTCAATGACAAATACAATACAGGCTATGGACAGTAGTGTTAGATATGGACCGACAGATACACGCATTGAATCCAATGGCATACTTATGTTATAGGGATTGGGATCATTGAATTGAAAATTGTCATCATCATGGTCAAATTGCTGTACATAATAGCCCATATAAACAGTATACCATTTATTATAGTTGCCAGTTTCGTGCGATTGTATTAATCTAATTAATTAAAAATATATAGTTATTTAAGTTTTTTTTTTGTTTTTGCTTAATAAATTTTTTTTAATATTAAATTTAATTATTTTTTATTTTGATAAATGTAATAATAATAATGACATACATATCACGATAATGTCTATACAATTGTTGTTTAGTTGGATTATTGTCTAAATTATATCTATTGAAAACCTGCGCAAAACCGACCAATTGATACGTTTCATCCGATAAATGAATTAATTGATAATTTTGTTTAGTTTGCGTAAAAAATATTTGCGTATTTTCAATGTTAATCAATGCTATAGACGTTTGTTTGTATTTGATATCAAACAATAATTTTTTCGACGTATCAATAGATTCGTATAAATTTTCCGTAACTATTGGCTGTCTATCTGTTCGTCCAATTATTTGTCGTTCAATATCATTGGCTTTGCTCTTAGAAATGATTTTATTTTATTGTTAAAATTTTTTAAAATAAAATAATATATATAATTATTTATCAATACTATAATAAAACTATTCGATTATATCATAATCAAAAAAAACCAAAACAAACATTATTTTTTTAAACAAATTTATAATAGATGTATATTTTTATTTTTTTCCAATTTAGGTTATTTAAGCAGCAAAATGATGTAAAGATATTTTTTAATTTAAAACCAGTTGAGAATGCTAGAAAGCAATTCCATACGAATTCCTAATCCAAATTAAAAATTATATTAAAATCAAATGATTCAGCATGAAAAAATAAACTCAACTTTGGACAGACAGACGGACAGACATATAGAATTCAGATACGTACTCTTTTCAGGAGTTAGTGAAAATGGAAAATGTTTATTTTTATATACACTGCTTATGAGCTATCGAAAACTCGGGCCCTTTTTATGTATATTATGTTATTTATGTTTTTTGTGTAACTATATCTCTATTAAATAATTATATAATTACATAAATGATGTCGCATTTTTTTAAACAACACATGACAATATGGTATCTTTTATAATTACCAAATGTAGCACAAAAAACATAAGTAACATAAATAAAAAATACCGAATTTGTTCTGAAAATGTTTAGTGTATTATATTTAATTTAACTTAAGCAAGGAAACGTGACTTTCAAAGTAAAAAAAGTTTATTTGGTAATACTGAATCATTTGATACCCTACATGATTAAAGTTGAGTTTATTTTGCAATACTGAATAATTTCATAAAATACATTTTCTAATTTTGAGTTTATTTTTTCAATTTAGAATTATTTGATACCTTACAAAACTAATTTTTAATTTTGAATAAGGAGTTCGTATGGAAATGCTTTCTAGTATTCTCAACTGGTTTGTTTTAAGACTGTTATTATGAAGATATAATTGAAAAAAAAATTTAAATTGTATTATAACATTATATAAATAATTGTAGAAAGATATTTTTTTATACATAGATTATATAATTGATTTACTCATTAAAATGATATTATTGTATTAATGTTTAAAGAAATAAAAATTATTTGAACATATATTTTATATTTATTTTTTTTGTTTTGATTATAATGTTTTTTTTTAAAAAATAAAATTAATAAATTTTTTTATACCTCAAACAATTTCCATTCATATGAATTCATAACAAGCTTTACAGATATTTTTGGTTTACTAATTAGTTCATCAAATGTATCAATAGTTTCAAATGGATTTGATATATATATCGATAATATTTGTTGATTTAGAAAATTTAATGTAAAAAATTTGCCAATAATTAGTGTACCAAATATGAGTAATATAAACGTATTAATTTTGTCAATTTTTAATTTAACTTTTAAAAAAATAATAATAAAAAATAAAATATTAAAAATTGTAAAAAATTTAATTATAATTTAACAATTAATTGCCTTACAATTTATCAAAAATGCTGTACATATTTGCCATATTTGTAAATTCAATTGTAATGAACTATTGATATTATTTCTATACAAAAAAAAATATTATTTAAATTTAATTCAAAATTTTAATATTTTTTTATAAAAGAATAATTTCTTGTAAAAAATTACAAACGAATTATTATCTAATTAAAAATTATTTGATAATTAAAAAAATAAATAAGAATAATTTACTTTATATTTAAATATCTATATAATAATGTGCAAATTAATATTGTTGTAAAAAGTCCCAACCAAAACTATAATTAATTTAAAAAAAAGTAATATAAGTTTTTAACAAAATTAAATTAATAACTTTCAATTAATTAATTTTAAAAATAAACCAACATAGTTATCTAGGATATTTGCGATGCCATAAAATTTGTTGCTGGCCATTTTACTATAAATACTGCCTAATATAACTATTGAATAATAATTGTATGGCCATATTAAATAATATTTATCATGCATAGTTGAATTCAATGCGTATTGATTTATTAGTATATCAACTTGCTAATTTATGAAATTTTTATTTTAAAAAATAAGATAACAAATAAATATTAAACTATCCATTTTAACATTATTATGTTAGTTAATTTAAATTAGTACATATTGTACTGTATAACATAATAATAATAATTATTATTATTATAATTAATTTATTAATTTATTTATTATTATTATTATTTTTAACTTACTTGATTTTCAGCATATTTTAACGATAAATCAACTGCACTTAAGTTTTGATATTTACTATCAGTATTATCCATTATTATTGATAATAAACTAAATAAATATATATATTATTTACTTTTTTATACAATACCGGTATAATTAAAAAATATAATTATAAATATTACCCATATTTTGTTCGTTGAACCAATTCATATATAATGTAAAATTGATGGCCACATAAAAATTTTAAGTCGCTATTGATAGTCTATTCATCAATAAAAAAATTAATAGTATAATAATTTACTGTATTTTACTTTTTTTTTATATTATTCAAGTATATATTATATATATATATATAGATATAAAATTATTTAATTATTTTTTTTATTACAAATAAATTATTGGTAAATGTAAAATTGCCCAATAGTTTATGACCATGATCAAATTCAATGTCAAATGTATACGGATCAGTTTGATCAGCAATAGTAAAATCACATACTAAATTTGGTGCTAATTTAGTATACATTTTAAGGTATTATTAGTATTATTATTAAAATAAATGTTAAATAATTATTAGTATTATTTGTAATTATTTTACTTAAATTAATAGATTTTCATTTCTTTTGTTTTTTATAACTAAAATAATATTATTGCTACAAATAATTAAAAAAAATATTGTAATAGATTTAAAACATAATTTATATTTATATATTAATGAATTATTTATCAACTTTATTTTTATATTACAGTATTATAATAATAATAAACTCTATTAATTATAACTGTAATTATAAAAAATCAATAATAATATATTGCTTTATAAATTATTAATATAAAAATAAATAAAATTTTTTCTTATTAGTTTTTTTCCAAATAGTATTGCCTAATAAAAAAGCTTTAAATATTAATTAACTTTTTATTATTGTCTAACAATATTTAGTAATTAAAAGAATAATAATAATAATATATTAATACTTAATATGTTAACAATAATAATAGTTTATTACATTAATAAAAATTTATAAATTATTTATAAATATAATAATAAACGAATAAATATAACATTAAAGTAATAAAAAATTACTGTAAAATTAATATTATTATTTTTTTCAAAATAAATATGTACTACTTTATTAAATAAAAAATTAGTTAAGTTATTAAATATTAAAAACACAGTAAAAACAAAATTAATAATTTAAATGTCATTAAATTATTAAATTAAATAATAATATATAAATAAAAATCAATTCAATTAATCAATATAGTTACAAATAATTTAATTAAAAGACATTACAATGTGTAATATTTA